GAGAAGAGAAGAGAAGAGAAGAGTTGGAAGGGACCTTGGAGGGCTTCTAGTCCAACCCCTGCTTAGGCAGGAAACCTCTATACCACTTCAGACAAATGATTATCTAAGATCTTCTTAAAAAACTTCCAGTGTTGGAGCATTCACAACTTCTGGAGGCAAGTTGTTCCACTGATTAATTGTTCTAACTGTCAGGAAATGTCTCCTTAGTTCTAGGTTGCTTCTCTCCTTGATTAGTTTCCACCCATTGCTTCTTGTCCTACCTTCAGGTGCTTTGGAGAATAGTTCTTGCTTCTTTTAACCCAAGGCAAGGGTTTTAAGAGCAAAGAAGCCGGTTTCTGTTAGGGAGTGTCGAATAAGACTTGGTTACTTTCATTTCTACTAATAAGCCGAAATAATTTATCCTCTTGAGAAGGAAATGTTACATATTCTAGGAATGTAGAGACAATTGCAGTCGCTTGGAATGCCAGCCAGAAGGCTGCTAGGATTCCTTACTATATCAGTCTGTAAAAATTCTGCCCTCTTTATTTTATTTTTCTTGGAAATATTCGATGTTTTCAATTTAAATTATACATCAGCACATAATACACATATTTCTTCAGGCATTGCAGGGCCAGTATCTATTGATGCCTCTGGAGAAAGGTTTGGGGATTTTTCTGTGGTTGCCATGACTGATCCTGAAACTGGAACACAGCAGGTGAGTAAATTGTTTCCAAATCAGCTTTGACCATGTTTATTCTCCTCTGGGTATGTGGAATGAGCTCTTCGCATGGATAGCAAGATGCCAGGCTTGGGAGCCGAAGACCAACACCTCTAGAGCAGTGGTGGGTTCCGGATCCCATTGCACCGGTACGCTGCGACGGGGCCGGACATCCACCTTGGGCATGTGCGCCTGCGCATGCCACTACCCTGCGACGCCCCAGCTACTTGGCGAGATCACGCAGGCGCAGTTGGCCCGTTTCCCTCAAAAAGAGCTAAGGAACACGGACAGGTGGGCCATCGAAACACCACTGCTCCCAGCTGCCACCAGTACGCCCATACCAGGCTGTACTGCCCGGAATGCACCAATGCTCTGGAGTCCATCAACATCAGGAAAGATGTTCTAAATTATAAATTGGATTGAAAATTATACTTGTCCTGTTTCATTAAATCTTTGAATGGCATTTAGGTTCTAGAAATTTTAGGCGTAATAATCATTCTCCCTACTGAACAGGAATTTGAACTATTGCTTTCCTACACCAAGTCCAATACTCTAATCATGTAATCCCAAAGGTGCTTCAGTTTTATATTTGGCTTTGCAACTGAAATCTGCTAGGAATTTAGAAAGAAAATTAAGGGCAGCAATTATGAACCCGAGAAAGATTAAGGGAGTGGATTTATTTAGCTATTATCCAGCACAACCAAAATTACAATTAAATTAAGCATAATTCAAACAAAACCACTTGCCTGCAAGGAGAAACTGGTGAAATCACAAAATAGACAAAATAATAGAAAGTGAAAAAGCTAAAGTGCACATAACCACATTTCTGGTATTTGGTAATTGGCTCTTATTTATTTATTTATTTATTTATTTATTTATATATATCCCACCTTAATTATTTTTACAAAAAAACTCAAGGCAGTGAGCATAGGTAAAGGTTCCCTTCGCACATATGTGTTAGTCGTTCCCGACTCTAGGGGGCAGTGCTCATCTCCCTTTCAAAGCCTTCAGAGATGTCCAAAGACATCTCTGTGGTCATGTGGCCGGCATGACTAAACGCCGAAGGCGCACAGAACACTGTTATCTTCCCACCAAAGATGGTTCCTATTTTTCTACTTGCATTTTTATATGGTTTCGAACTGCTAGGTTGGCAGAAGCTGGGACAAGTAACGGGAGCTCACTCTGCTACATGGCGCTAGGGATTCGAACTGTCGACCTTTCTGATTGACAAGTTCAGCATCTTAGCCACTGAGCCACCACGTCCCTGCAGTGAGTGAGCATATCCAGTACTCTTTCCTCGTCCTATTTTCCCCACAACAACAACCCTGTGAAGTGGGTTGGGCTGAGAGAGAGAGAGAGTGATTAGCTCAGTGTCACCCAGCTGGCTTTCATGGCTACGGCAGGATTTGAACTCACAGTCCCCTGGTTTCTAGCCTGATGCCTTAACCACTAGACCAAACTGGTAGCAGCATCCCACAAACACATGAGTTTCTAGCAAATAAATGTCCATTTGGGAGAATGGGTTTGAAGTTATAACTGTGTGATTTGTTTTACAACTGTTGTAAAAACACTCATAAAATTGGGTGCATGCCTGGACTTAATGACTGTTTCAACTTACAACCGAAATTCCTGTACCAATTGCAGTCATTAGTCAAAGACTATTGGTATGAAGAGTTCATATACTGTAACTCACTGGCCCCTTGAAAAGGTTAGAGAGAATAGGTTGGCATAACCACAAGACATATTTTAAAACATAGACACCAAACTAACCATACTAATTAGCTATCTGAATATCCCAGATATGACCCTAAGAACCGTGTTTTGATGAAGAGAAATATAGAAGGCAATCTGCTCACTTCCCCATGCTTTGAATTACCCTTGCAGCCTCTTGCAAGCAGAGGTGGTATTCAGCCAGTTCGGATCGGTTCACCCAGGTGGGATGCACCCGCCCCGGCTCTATGCCGTACTATTTCGGCATGTTTTTGAGGCTGAGCACATGCGCGGAAGGCGAGCAAAGTGCATGCGCGGAAGCCAGGCGCACACGCGGTGAACTAGTGGTAACAAAATTCCGAGCCGAGATGGCGCAGTGGTTAAATGCAGCACTGCAGGCTACTTCAGCTGACTGCAGTTCTGCAGTTCGGCTGTTCAAATCTCACCGGCTCAGGGTT